CTGAATAGGAATGCAGTGTGTTGCTACAGGGGCCGCTCCCAGCTGTGGCCCCAGCCTGCGTGCAAACAGAGGTAAATGGGCGGGGAGTGGGGAGAAAGATGCAGCTCAGCACCTTACCCTAAACATTTTCCCAGTGCCACTGTGCTGCTGGGGGAGATACCCTCTCCCAAACTCACCAGCCCTGGCCAGCTTTTTCCTTTCCTCTGTCCCCATACAGTAGGTCTCAGTACATCTGGGCTACGTCAGACTGGCATGATTTTCCGGAAATGCTTTTAACGGAAAAGTTTTCCGTTAAAAGCATTTTCGTAAAAGAGTGTCTAGATTGGCACGGACGCTTTTCCGCAAAAGCACTTTTTGCAGAAAAGCATCCATGCCAATCTAGATGCACTTTTCCGCAAAAAAGCCCCGATCGCCATTTTCGCGATCGGGGATTTTTTGCGGAAAACAAATCTGAGCTATCTACACTGGCCCTTTTGCGCAGGACTTTTGCCTGAACGGGAGCTGCATAGTATTTCCGCAAGCACTGATTTCTTACAATAGGGAGTCAGTGCTTTTGCGGAAATTCAAGCGGCCAGTGTAGACAGCTGGCAAATTTTTCCAGAAAAGCAGCTGATTTTCCAGAAAAACTGGCCAGTCTAGACACAGCCCTGTTGTCTGCTTCCTCTCCACTTGCAGAACTCAACTTCCTGCTGCAAGATAAATTCCCTCTCTCTGCCCTGGACTTCTTCACTCTCTTGGGAGAAGCCCCTTTTACCCTTCCTGCCTCTATACCTCAATTCACCCACTATGAGAGAGGGCTCTTACTCCTTAATACAACTCTAGCCCAGCCTTCAGCTCAGGTAGATGCCACCTTTTTTCCAGTCCCCAATTCCCCACTGTGCATGATGTCCCCTAGCTCCCTAGTCTCCCCCCAAATCTCAACTCAGTCCTTGTGGGAGTTGCCTACTGCCCCTTCTCATCTCATCATCCCAACTCTCTTCTCTAAGAAAAGTGGAAGGAGGGCTCTCCAATCACCCCTGACTTGACGAAAGCAGCCTGGTGAGCCTGTCAGCCCCCAACTGAGATGATGTGCACAGAGACAGGTGCAGCCTGGAAAAGTGAAGCATTGCAGGGTTGGAAGGAAAACAATGGCACAAGGCAGAGAACAAAACCCTTACCAACACTGAAGTTTGTGGTGTCTCTGGGAACTGAAAGTTCAAGTTTAGTTCAGATAGGGTGCCAGCTGACTCAGAGCAGGAACACATTGTATGTATAAAGTCCCATAAAATGTTTGTGTCTCAGATCTGAGCTCCAGATTCTAGAACTCAAGTGTTATGCTGAAAGCAGACAAATCCTGCACTTTCCAGTCTGGGCTCCTTATAATACAGATTGTGCCTTCTGGTAAACTCTTTATTTTAGAATTGCAGATCCTTTGCCCCTGTTCATTATCATCTAGCTGTACTTTGACACAGCCAATTTATTTCGTTATTTAAGGGACACCTAGCTTTAAAGATCACAATTAGATTTTTTACCCATTTTATTTAGAATGCTCTAATTATTAAAACAATTTTTTAAATATTAATTTATTTTTCACCACTTCTGATACTCTTTCGTGCTTGCACTTCAGCACAGACATGCAAATAGATTTGTCACTTCACCTACTGTTTCCAGGCTAGATTGAGGACCTGAGTGCCAGCAGAAATTTTACTATCATGACTTTTTTATTTTAGGACTTGTAAAATACATAATCTGCTTTGGTGGCATACACTTCAGGGGACTATTTGTTAATACTGAATTTAAAATGAAACAGTTCTAGTGTTATTTTGAAAAAGATTACTACAAAACCTAAATAGTCACAGAAAGGTAGCTGTGTTAGTCTGATCTTTGTAAAACAAAAAAAAGTCATGTAGCACTTTAAAGACTAACAAAATAGTTTATTAGGTGATGAGCTTTCGTGATCTGAAGAAGTGGGTCTGTCCCCCCGAAAGCTCATCACCTAATAAATTGTTTTGGTAGTCTTTAAAGTGCTACATGACTGCTGTTTTTTTTTTTTTTTAAACAAAACCTAAAGTTTGATTGGTCCAAGACTACAATAATAGCCAGGTTGGATTCATACTATGAATTAGAATGATGCTGTAACCTTGTCATCTTACCTAGTTCTATTTGTATTGTAGTATAGATGGGGCTTCAGAACACTATGGAGAGATGGCAAGACAAGCTCTTTGCCTTTGGGCTGACTTTGAGAGAGAGAGGCAGATAAAGACAAGGAAACATACTATTGTTTCTAACTTCCCTGTAACATTTTTTTTTCTTTTAATGCTGATTCTTACCCTCCTCCGTCCAAATGTAGATGCATATTACCTGGTAAACTCAGATCTAATTCACCGCCTGTTCAGCTCCACCTATGATAACACTAGTGGTAGGTTTAGTTGTGTGTAAAAATGCCTCAAACCAGTTGATTCTACAGTTTGTGCTTTTGCAGAATTACAGCTACAAAGCTTGCTTGTGTAGATGCAGCCCTGAAAACTCAGGTGACTGTCTCTGCAATATAAAAGCATTGTTTTGCACTTGTGCATCTATGCTGGACTACATTTTATAGATAGTGGGTAATTCCATCACCTATGATTTCTAAGGCTACGGCTACACTGCCATTTTTTTGCAGAGGATATGCAAATCGCACTTGCATTTGCAAATCTTCTTCCAATTTTTTGGCGGAAGAGGTTTTGCCAATAAAAAGCCCCATGTAGAGAAGGCCATTTGTCAGAAAAAAAAACCCTCTTTTGCAAGATCCCTTATTCCTCAAATCAAGGTTAATAGCATCGATCCCTTATTCCTCAAAAATCAAGGTTAATAGCATCTTGAGAGAGAGGGGTTTTTTCCGACAAATGGCCCTCTCTGTATGGGGCTTTTTAGCGGCAAAATGTCTTCCGCAAAAAGAATCGGAAGAAGATATGCAAATGTGAACACGATTTGCATATCCACTGCCGCAAAAAAAGGCAGTGTAGTCATTATTATATACAGGGTTTCTTTTATACTGTCTGAACATAGGGTTACCAGGTATCCGGTATTGACCCAGACAGTCCAGTATTTTTCCTCCTGTCTGGTAAAAAAAATTCAAAAAATACCGGACACCTAAAATGTCCAGTATTTTCTGGGTTTTTTTCCCTGCCAGGAGGCGAAAATACCAGATACCTGGCAACCCTAAGACATACTCAGCAACTGGGCCCAGCCCCTGGACTCATCCACCAGGCCCCCCTGGATGCCCTCCCACTTACTTCCCCTACCCTCACCCCCAAAAAAAAACCTCTTCTTAAAGGGGCTATGCTGATTTTTTATTTTTTTTGCTTAACTAACAACTGTGGTCTACCCCTCCCCTTTTTTTTGCTTAACTACTGTCAGGGTCCATTTTTGTTGCTTAACAACTTTGGTCTCCCCCTCCCCTTTTTTTTTCTTCACCAGAATTTTTTTCTTGATGTTTTTTTTGGGGGGGGTGGGGGGGGGGGGAGGAGAGATGTTCGATATTTTTTATTAAACCATCTGGCAACCCTATATGAACAAAATATGCAATGGTACACCTGGATTTTACTCCCAGGTCTAGTGTTGATTTTATATGGTCAGTCACTTATTTATGCATTGGTTACTTTATTCATTTTTTTTCTCTAAACGTGTCTCTGATGCAGAATTATAATACAGTGATGAGTTATAATACAGTAAGATTTTTTTGAACTGTTTGGAAAACAAACCGTTACGACTACATGAATTGAATTTCACCCCACAGTGAACCTTTTAGGCCTTTTGAAAATAGTGGTTTATAATAGAAGTGCTGACAACTACCAACTGGATAGCTGAAAAGGACAGCTATGTTTGGGGTGGGGATATGGGAAAAATTGTCTCTTGTAATATTGTTCTCTCTGGTAATATTGTTCAGGAGTTAATACCACTAACTCCTTGATGTGGGTTGACCTCATGTTGTTAGCAGGTGGGAAAACTGATGTATGAAGAATAGTATACTAATTATTTTTATCCATTCACATATACTTTAAATTGTTTATATTGAATATGCTTGCTGTTCTTTTCCTACACAATTGCTCCTGTCTGTACACTAATACAGAGTGAAATCTTGCTTGATGTGTACTTTTGAAATGTGGGCCATTTTGCACCAAGTAAATTGAGTTAGTCAAAAGCAGAAGGAGCAGTACAAAGGAAGCTAAAGATGTTGTCAGGTGAGAGTAGAAAAGACATGAAAAAGTTCATTAGGTGGAGTTGTACATTACTTCAGATAACATGAACTGCAGTCGAAAAAGCTCTTACATTAAAAGTGGCCAAACTGGAAGAAATTGGTATGGATTGTACCTCCCTATTCCAATGGTCCTGAACGAGGGAATTTGCCAGACTGGGAGAGGGAGTCACTTGGGAGAAGAGGCAGGGTAGCTGTGTAGCCCTGCAGCTGGCGGCCAGAAGCACAGCTCTTAGCTCAAAGCATGGTGCAGAGCTGTTTGGTATTTGATGAGTTACTCCTTTAGTCCTGAGTTTGTCACAGGGACAGAAATAGATGTGAAATCTTCTGAACAGGGGAACAGACAGCAAAACAAACATTAGAGGGGAGTTAACCTTTCCCTATGCTATCCAAAACTAAAAAAAAGTTTGGCTAGAGTTTCCCCTACAATATGTACCAGTTCCGACTTACATACAAATTCAACTTAAGAACAAACCTACAGTCCCTATCTTGTACGTAACCCGGGGACTGCCTGTACATGAATTGAATTTCACCCCACAGTGAACCTTTTAGGCCTTTTGAAAATAGTGGTTTATAATAGAAGTGCTGACAACTACCAACTGGATAGCTGAAAAGGACAGCTATGTTTGGGGTGGGGATATGGGAAAAATTGTCTCTTGTAATATTGTTCTCTCTGGTAATATTGTTCAGGAGTTAATACCACTAACTCCTTGATGTGGGTTGACCTCATGTTGTTAGCAGGTGGGAAAACTGATGTATGAAGAATAGTATACTAATTATTTTTATCCATTCACATATACTTTAAATTGTTTATATTGAATATGCTTGCTGTTCTTTTCCTACACAATTGCTCCT